GAATCAATGTTTTTGGTTTTATTTGTTAGGATTATTTATGGATATTTTACTTGAAGGCCTAAGAATGAATTAGATACCTTACAGCATCCAGGATTTAAAATAGATATGTGGGAGCAACTTTTAAAATGAATTGTAGTTTTAAATTGTAATATACAATATTTGTAGTCTTTATTTTCTCTGAGCTCTTTTTCCTTAGGTGAAGACCTCTGTGCTGAAAAGGTACCATGTCACTTCACTCTTCTGGCCATCAATGAATGGAGGTCGTGGACTCTTGAACCAAACAGTGTCAAGGAAAATTGAAATTGGGATTCAACACTAGACATTACCTCCTAAACTGGAAAGACATGTAAACATGGGAGATGAGGCTGACATTTTTGTTCAGCCGTCTTCTGCCATGAGCACAGAAAGATCCATCTGCAAGATCGAAAGAAGAGGGAAGTAGAATTTAGGGAGAAACCGAGAAGAGAGAGCATGTGGCTTCAGGGAGAGAGAGAAGTAGACTTGAGTCTTGGTATTAGTAGAGCTCCTGGTTTCAGTCTCTGATACCCAGCTGCTTTTCTTGCCCTTAGATTTTTTTAGACACTCCTATATCCTTGCAATAACTCCCCCTTTCTGGCTTAGGCTGCTTTGAGTGGATTTCTGTCCTTGCTGACCTGAAACATTACTGTGTACACCAACCTATAGAGCAGCCTTCAGAGCAGTCAGATGGTCTTGGAATCATTCCCAGGGCTGTGGTTAGTAGCGTCTAAGCATCTGAAGGGCTTCTTTATGGGGTATGGGTCTTGGATATGGACTAACAGTGGAGTCTAATGCACTTCAGCAACTTGCCACCACCACATTGCACTTTTGATTCTGTGCTTTCCAAATAGAAACCATAAGAAATGCTAGTATAAACTGAATTCAGTGCTAAATGGGTTTATTAAAACTTAAAGAAACCAAACATAACTGGCAGAAAACATTTTCAGAATGATCTGATAAAAACCATTAGAACCCATACTGATATTTTTCTACATAGCATGTTCTGATGACTAAATCCGTAATGGCTTTTATATTATTTTTAGTTTTCCACTGTTTCTCCACAGAAGGAAATGTTCAGAATCCAGAGTATGTTAGTATTGAAGCACTTTTCTGAGTAATAAAACAGGCTTGCCCCTGATAAAAAGAAAAGAAGAAGCCCATATCAATGTCTATTCAAGAACTCTTTTTTTTTCAGTGATGGTGTGTGTTGGGGGTGGGTGGTGGTGGTGGTGG